CCATGTGGGTATCATGGATAATGATGCTCTAAGAAACTCCTTTAAGAACCTCTTAAAAACCTCTAATGGAGGTAATCTCACAAACCCTAAACCCTCAAAACTAAACTCTAATTGAACATAGTTAACCCAAACATAAATGATATATTGAATAAATGATTTTGAAAAAATTGTATTTTTGCAAATTATTCAAAAAAGTGACATTTTTCAAAAATTCTAAAAAATAAAAACACAGGCATCTCAAATAATTATTATTTTAAGTTAAAAACTTTTTCTACAAAGAGAATGAGCCGCATCTCAAAATTCACGTACGACTAGTCGAGCCGCTGCATCCTCCGCCAAATGCGAATTCCAGTATGTCAATTCTTTGGAAAAGAACGGCCAAAACATAATCAGAACAACCGCAAGTGATTTGTTCTTTTGTAGATTAATGAATACAACATTTGTATTTGCGAAACTTATTAATTAAAAACACCTCTTTAATCTAAGCTCATAAAAAAACATTGATTACAGAATCACTAACACATACATCTATAGGTTGATGGTTTACGGGTTATCACATATATGGTCATATCTTTTTTTGTTTGCACGTAGTAGCTTTTGCATTGTAAAATTTTACATCGTTTTAAGATCGCCTAAACGTGTTCATGGCCCATCTTAGAGCCTTATCCTAAAAGAGCATTATTAACAAACGTCTCAAAATTCACAACCGAGGAACCAAGCTTATGCTCCGTGGCTTCCTCCGCCAAGCGCCGCCACTCTTCCGCCTTCTCTCTCATTTTCTTTCCCTTTTCTCCATCCATTAGCTCTCTAACCACTGCCTCAACCTCCTCTCTCTTTACATTTCCGCCTATCTCCATTCCAACTCCCCACTCATCACAACAAAACTTACAATTTGTTGGCTGCTCTGCAAAAAATGGCCAACATATCATTGGTACACCGCCGCATAGACTCTCTATTGTCGAGTTCCATCCGCAATGCGTCAAGAATCCTCCAATTGACGGGTGGGAAAGGACTTTTTCCTGTGGACACCAACTCGCTAACATTCTTCGGTCCTCCGTTTCCACTAAAAACTCCGGTGGAACCACAGCCGCATCTCCAATCACTAAATCAGGCCGGATCACCCACAAAAACTCTTTTCCACTTGCCGCCAAACCCCATGCAAACTCAACAAGCTGCTTTGCACTCATCACCGTTATGCATCCAAAACTGATATACACAACGCTGTTCGGAGACTTGGTATCGAGCCAATCCAAACACTCTGTCTCCTCTCTCCACAAATTTAATCCAATCCGAGCGATTTCACTACCCTCGTCAATCTCCTGCTTGGCTAGGAGATGGAGCGGTCCAATCGAGTAAACTGGAGGTAAAAGAGATTGCATAGACTGGATAACGTCATGCTCGAGATCATCAAACGTATTGAGAATGATGGCAGTGGCACGTTTGGATTGCTCGACCTCTTGAACGACGAAATTAAGCATAGTGTCGTCAGGATTAGTGGTACGAATGAAGCTAGGGATGTCCTTTAGCCTAAGATTTTTCATAGACGGTATCCAATCTATAACCATGTCTAGATACTCTTTACACATGTAACTTTCATCTGTCACTAATCCACCATCATTAAAAGTAATCAATATGATACGACACAATATTCCTAGTTTAAATCGGTAATTCAAGAACCGGAAGGGGTCACTGGCCTAAAAGACAGTTAATTAGCCAAATACATTAAGATTTTTTTTTTTTGTCAAAAGGTTTTTTTTCTTTCTCTCTTTTAACTATGTAAATTAAAATAAATAACAAAAAAGAATAACAATTAAAGTACCTTTAAAAGGAGCTAAACCTTTCGCGATAAAGTGATGAAACTGTAGAAAAGCCATGAATCCACAAGCACTAGGGGTCCAGAAAAGAACATCCGGGACACCGAGCTCCTTGGCAGCATCAAGAGTAAAGCTCATCACACCGTCCGAAACAATACAGCTCACCGGAGGAACATCGCCTCTGGCGTTAATCCGCCGGAGAAACTCCTTGAACGGAGCTAAACAGTTCTTGGTTGTTGACACGCAAAGTGCGGGGATATCCTGCGTGGTATCCCCGTCAGTCTCCGGTAGACCATCAGGAATAGACTCGAACCGGAACGAAGAAGCCCCGTCGAGTGCGTTGGGCCCGCGTGACCGGAGTAGACGGTTGTGATTGTAGATAGTGTTGACGAAGGTGACGTGGAAGCCTTTGGCGTGGAGGAGTTTAGCCACTTGCAACATCGGGTTGATGTGGCCTTGAGCCGGGTGAGGCACGCAAACTACGTGTGGTTTTCGTGAGGTAGAGACGGCAGGAGAAGCCATTTTTGTTTTGTTTTCAATCTTCTGCCAAGAAAAAAGTGATGATGGGAGTGGACATTATTGACTCGGTAAGCGTTATAATTTATATGGCTCGATAGAGGCCACGACAGTGATATATATATATATTTTTTTTTTCTTTTGGTTCGATTGTATTTTATAGTTTTGTTGATACATAAAATTTCTTTCTGTTGTCCTCATCGAATATCCATGTTTTATC